TATCTCAGACCGTATTGTGATGTTACACACGATTTTTATCAGCGTTACTATCAGCGATCTTTCTCGGCATAATTATTCGTATGTGTCGTACCATCGATTTTCTTCACAAGGAAGATTCATTAAATTCGTTCTCTTGAAACGATATATAGACGATCTTCAAATAAAGCAACGGGAACAAAATATACAACTTCAAATATATTGGAATTTATTTAATTACATTTTATATAAATAATTAGAAAAGTTATTTATTATTGTAAGTTACATAAAATGTAATTAAAGAAATTTTCCATCTCATTTAACTGGACATTCTAATCAAGTTTATCTTGTTTAATAAATAAATTATCTTTGTTAGTGTCCAACTCCAGTTGTCGTAGGATAACAGTAGGATGTGATAACTCTTTGGAATGTGCAATCGAATTGCGCCATTGTTTTGCGAGGTGCAACGTTATAAGTAACTTTTCTATTGATATGTTTAGTTCTTTAAGTTTGTCGCACAACGTTATCCATTTTAGCGCCTCATCTTCATTTTTATATTTTTTTTCTTTACTCTTGTTAATAAGCGTTGTAACCAATACTTTAGTATATTTTATATTTTATATTTATTTGACACTTCAGCCTATATGGCCAAGAAGGGGACTTGGTTACAAAAAGTCTANTCACACACATCCTTCCATACGATCCATACATTATATAACACTATATAACACTTATTTCACGCTTATTTACATTTACTTTACAAATCCTTTACATTATCTTCACTCCCATCACATTAAATTAAATTAAATTAAATTACATTACATTACATTGCGTTAAATAAATTAACTTAAATATCCTAAATCAATTTAGCCTTCACCTTAATTACATTTAAATACCTTTATACTTTTATTCCTTTCTGTCTTTTTACATTTTACCTTGCCTTTTTACATTTACATTTATACATTTTTGCCTTCTTTTTCTCTTTTTTCTTCTACTTTTTTCCTATTTCTGTTTCCTCTTTCTCTAATTTTTATTTTATTCTATCTTAATTCTATTTTCTTTTTATCTTTATCCTACGTTACTCTGAATATATACACTTACACACACACACATCTAAGTCACAAAATATTTATTAGTCTTTATATTACATTCCTCCTACTCTGAGTCTTGAGAACTCTTTCCTCTTATCTCTTGATTCCTTCTTTCTAATTCCCTTTTTCTTTTTTCTTTTTCCTTCCATAATTTCTCCAGAATCTCTCCTTTATTCTTCTCTAAATCATCATCCCCTATCCTCTCTAATCTCTCCTTTTTATCCGCGCCTAAACTTATAAACCATTCCTTTGTATACCTACACTCATCTACATAATGTTCTAGCTCATCTTTACCTATTTCACAGAATATACATCTTCTCTCATCCTCCTCCCTCCAGTATTTGTTGTTTTCCTCCATGTTACCACATCTCACTCTCATCAGAGCTCTAACTTGATCGCCTATCCTTATATCGTCTATGNACTTTTTCTGGAGATATCTGGGTTTACCTATATCAGTGCTCCACTCTTTGTATCTCTTGTTATATCTTGCCTCTCTTATTTTTCCTTCTTTCATTTGTTTTTGCATGTCTCTTTCNCTTTCTATCATCATACTTTCTACATCTTTCCCTTCTTTGTATCTTTCCTCTATTGCTTCTACACTCCATCCTTTACTGTTGTAATATCTTTCCTTCTCTTTGCTGTAAAGATCCTTCCTTTTTAAATCTCTTTTCTCCCACCAGCACTTCTTTACCAGGGAGTTTTCTTCGAANTCTCTGACTCTCATATCATATCTGACCGCTCTTGTACCCCATTTTATCTTTAATTTTCCTAAGTCCAGCTCTCTTCTTAACAAGTATCTCGGCGTACAGAAGTCTAACCTAAAAACCCACCTAACATAATCCAACATTATCTTTTCTAATTCCTTTTTCTCTTCCCACCCCCATAATTCTACCCCATACGACATCGCACTTATCACTAAGTATCTGAATAGCATCCATCTCCTTCTGAAATCATTTTTACAAATTCTTTCTCCTAAACCCCAGACTTTATTTGCCGCTATTCTACCTTTCCTACCTATTTCCTTTATGTGGTCCGCGTAGCTTCCCTTCCTATTAAATATAAAGCCGAGGTATTTAAAGCTCTTTACCTTTTCAATAACTTTATNGTTCCACATAATCCTATCTACGTTCTTCGTACCTGTGCTATTAAAAACTATTAGCTTCGTTTTTTCCGTGCATAATTCAAGTCTTCTTGCCTTTAAGAACCTCTTCATTGTATCCATCATATCTTGAAGCGCTGTTGCATTCTTCGCCAGCAAAACAATGTCATCCGCATATGCTANGGACCATATCCTATGCTTCCCTATTGTTACTCCTCCTATGTTTCTGTCTCTTAGTTCCTCTTCCAAATCTGCTATGTAAAGATTGAATAAGATGGGACTCAGGACACATCCCTGCCTTACACTTTTGTTAACCATGAAGCTCTTAGTTATACCTTTCTCTGATCTGACCACAACCTCCGTTTCAGCATAAATATTCTTCATTCTCTTTATCAATCCTTCACTTATTCCTTTCTTTTCCAGTATTTTCCACAACTTTTCCCTGTCCACATTATCAAACGCCGCCTTTAAGTCTATGAATAGTGCATATACTTTCCNTTCTCCTCCCTCCTTTTCCTTTTCCCTTTGTACCACATGGTTCAGCACGTATATATTGTCTAGGGTGGACTTTCCTTTTCTGAAGCCTGCTTGATTTTCCGGCAGCAAGTCTTTTTCTTCTACTTCCTTTTCTAATTTCTCTCTTATTATCTCTGCATATACCTTATAAGCTGTACATAGTAGCGATATTCCTCTATAATTCTCTGCCTGTTCCTGATTACCTCTCTTGTATATTGGCACCACGATACTCCTCCTCCATTCCTCTGGGATCTTCATACTTTTCCAAACCTCCTCTATTATCTCTGTCAGACCCTTCTTTACTACCTCTCCTCCGTATCTCCACGCTTCCATGGGGATACCGTCGATTCCCGCAGCTTTCTTCATTTTTGCCTTTCTGACCGCCTTTATTATTTCTTCTTCTATTGGTTCTTCACTTGGTTCTTCACTTTGTTCTAATTCTTCCAGTTGCTCTCCATCTTCTCCTCGGTTTTCCCTCACTATCTCCTCCATTCCTTCCTCTTCCTTTTCCCTCTTCTTCTCCTCACCTCCTAGTAGTTTCATGAAGTGCCTTCTCCATGCCTCTAAGTTTATATTAGCTTCCTTCCATTCTCTTCTTTTTCTTTTTTTATTTATGAAGTTCCANACCTCTGATTCCGTTCTCAGCTTTCTCAGAGTTTTTTCCTCTTCATCTCTTTTTTCCTTCCTTTTTTTGTCTAAGTGTAGCCTCAGACTTTTCTTTTGTTCAATATAAGCTTCTCTCCTCACTACACCCTTTCTCCATTTCCTATATGTTTTCTTTACCTCTCTTTTCCTCCTTGTGCAGCTCTTGTCCCACCAGTCCTTGTGACCTATCTTCCTTTTCTTTATTTTATAAACTTTTTTTTGTCATCGCTTCTTGTACTAAGTTCTTCAACTTATTCCATTTCCTATCTAGGCTTATCCTTTCCTGCTCCTCGGTCCAACCTATTTCCTCTGTTTTGGCTTTATATTTTTCTATTGCTTCTGGGTCCCAACATATCCTCTTTTTTTCAATTACCTTCTTCTCTTGCTTTTTCAGCTTCATTTTTCTTCTGTCGTCTCTTTCTTCTTCCTCTTCTGTTTCTTCCATCTTCATACACACCGGCATATGATCTGAGTCCACTCTCTCCTCAACCTTGAATTCTGTAACCTTATCTACTATAAGCTCATTTACAAACATGTAATCAATTACTGTACTACCCCTTGCTCCTACATAGGTAAACTCTCCATCCCAATCCCCATTAGTCCTACCATTTAGTACATTCAAACCGTTTTCTATCATATTATCTATGAATTTCCTACCTCCGTTACCTATCATTTTGTCCTTACTTTTTCTCTCCACTCCTCCTTCTCCTTCATCTCCTCCTAAATTTCCTATCCTAATATTAAAATCACCTCCAACAATTAATCTTTCCTTTTCGAATTTTTTCATTACCTTTGTGATTGTTTCTCCAACCTCTTTACCACTGTTTCCGTTGTTATACATTATTATAATATTCAGGTTCTCATTTACCTCTTTTGTTCTCATATGTATTATATTATCATATCCTGTTTCCATCCTTTCCCACTCCTTCCCTCTCCAATCTTTTCTTATTCCAACGACTATGCCTCCTATCGCTCTACCTTTCTTTTTTTTCTTCATTGCATGGCTGCTCACCCACTGGTGTGAGTCTGGTAATCTGTTCTTTATGTTCTCCCAACCTTTTTCTGTTAGTGTAGTAATCGATACATCGATACATCGATATCGACTACTATCGAATGTCATTAGCAACCGATACACAATCATTCATTTATTAACAACAAATATTCTCTTGTTCAGTTGTGTATCAAGCATTCCAAGTTCATTCATGTAATCATTCACACGTTCAAATAAACCGACTCAAGTTTAATTAAAAAGAATTAATTTAATTTATTTTTGTGAGTGAACAAACATAACAGTTTTTGGCGACGAGGATTATGGAAGGTCTACGTGAAATATTAACGCCGTTGTTGCAACAGCAACAGCAGCAACAGCAGCAGTTTCAGCAGCAACAGCAGCAGTTTCAGCAGATGATGCAGCAGCAGTTTATTGCTCAGCAACAAGAATTTGCGAAACAAATCGCCAAGATTCTTAATGCTTCTTCATCCGCACCTGTAGACCTGGAAACTAAAATGGATGCGTTAGCCAATGCAATCACAGAATTTATTTACGATCCGGAGAATGGTTTGACTTTTGATGCATGGTATGTACGTTACCGAGGATTATTTTCCGTTGATGCCCGAGCATTGGACGACGCAGCAAAGGTCAGATTACTCCTACGTAAATTAAGCATGTCAGTTCACACGAAGTATGTTAACTACATCTTGCCAAAAGAATATACAGATTTCGATTTTACTGATACAATTAAAAATCTTACCGAAATGTTTGGAAAGAAAATNCGGCCGTTTTATTTTATACGGGGAAATAAAATCAATTAAGATCGGTTTTTCTTTTAAGTCGCGTGTATGCCCCGGAGGATTAACGGTTTCCGAGTGCGATTTCGGATCCCGGAGACGAGTCTTTGTGACTAGGGCGGGCGGTTGCTACTGCAACCGCTCGGCCACGTCACAATATATATATATATATACTTGCATATTTCCGCACAAGCATCCTGCGATCGGCTCTTAAAACCTTAAATATTTCATTTTANATATAGTTTTATCGACTATTTATATTCAAAAAAACAAAATTAAATATTGTATTTCTGAAAAGTAATGAGCAGATCAGCTGTCAACAAACTGCACTAAAGTGAAACTTTTGTAGCTCAGCGCTAGAAATTTATGTTTTTAAACAATATTTACCATTTTTATCTGCAACATTTAAAACAAAATAGGAACAGATTGAAATACGAAAATAAAAAATACAAAAAACTACTTNAATAGGTATATAAGATGCATGTACTTCAAAGAAAAATTAATGCATTGACATAAACTCAAAGTGACTAGAAGTGAATCTTCTTTTTAATTTGCATTTGTATTCGCTTTTAAACAATAATGGGCTCTGAGCTACAAAAGTTTTAGTGCAGTTTTATAATATGTGATATTCTACTTTTGAGCAAAACTATACTTGTGCTCATTTGTATGCCTTTTGATATTCNTTTTTTATTGCTATTAATTCCAAGCTACACACAATCATGCAATGTACATAGTATTACAAGCGGCTCATCTTTACCTTCGATGTTTTTTATCGCATTTCAATTTTCTGACGATAAGCATATGAAACATGTAACATAAGTAAAGAAGAGAAAATGTGAACACAGCGTGGTAGCATTTGATAATCTGTTCCAATTAGTGAGCATCACAGTGTAAAATTAATGACACGACGTAACCATTTTTGTATGNCAACTGAACATATTTTACTACAATGTCTGACAATGGCCACATTTTAAGCCCAGACAATGTATTAACTTTAAATACATGTACTTGAGAACTAGCACAAGGAATAGTATAAAAATCGCATTTGCGAACAAATTCTCTCCCAATTACTACAGCACCTTGCAAACGGTCTGAAAAGCTATATTTTCAACGATGATAATACTTCCGGTAGCAGTACCACAACAATTGTTAGGGCTTTTATTNGTCAGTTTGAAATTGGAAAGAGTAACGCTACGATACTGGAGCTTACAACCAGGCAACACTGGACCAGTGTTATGAGGGTAAAAAATTTTCGGAATTTCATTGCCTTGCACTTCTTCTGNTTCATAAAAATGCTTCAATGACATTATTTCACTGATTCTTCGTCCAATTTGTTCTAGAGGTTTATTACGACCTCTAACTTTTCTTTTTATGGTTTGCATGTAATTTTCAAATGGAAATGCAGATATCGTATCCAAAGAGNAATTATGTAATTTGTCCACAAAATAATCTGCATCGTCCACTAGATGTATATTATTATGAAAATTGTGGGTAATGAAATTTTTATCATACAGTATTGCAGTCGACTGGACAAAATGTTTCAAAAGGGCTTTTGCATATTCACGAAATTCCTGTTTTTTACATAGATTTGGATTTAATAAAATTCGCATTGCGAAATGGAATTCTAAGAAATGAATGTACTTTTTTTCAGTAAGAATATTTTTCAAGACAATTGGTCCTATNTACAAGATAAAAAATCGGAATTCCGTTGCTTTCCACCGTAGAACTGTGTGTAATTCTCTAGGTTTTCTTGCAAACTCCACAGGAACAAAACATTGAAATTTAACAAGAAGATTTGATAGTAAATCAATTTGAGTTGCAGACAATCTGTGAGGAATTGCTCCTTTATACCACATTTTAACGATCATTGTTCTCATTACACCAAGACATTGTAGATGCATATAATCAAGAACAAAATGGTGTACAAAATGTAAACCAGTTATTTCTGTAAGAGGTGTATCTCGACGTCTAAAATTAGGATCTCTCNATTCTAGAAAGTCCTTACAAGTACGAGTAGGAGTTTCTAAGTCAAGGAAGACTCGTCGATTGTCTAATGTGATACCTTTAACAGTGCACCTGGTACACGAATAAAAACCTGTATGTGATGTTGTTCCCATTATAAAACTTTTTGCTGGAGCATCGCATACAAAATAAATATTACGTAACTGCGCAACATGATTGTCAAACTGTAGGCCATNCTCTTTGATGCTATTAATTTCAGAAACAAAGTCCTCTAAGTAGTCTTTCAAATTGTTTGGTTTGTCTTTACCACAATATATTCCTATAGGAAAAACATTTTTACGCAGTTCTGGTATNGAAACTATACTACATAATATAGGGTACACTTGATCTGATGAGCTTTTGAAAAGANGTAATCCGTCAATATTAATTAACAACTGAAACGATTGTACATTTTTGAAATATTTGGAAGCAATTTTTGATAACTGTTTTTTTAAACCAAAGTGAATATAAAAGCCGGGATCGACAACTTTTTTAATTAAGTTTACGCTTGTTTTGAGTAATGTGCGTGCATTGACCGGAAATCTGATCTCTGACTCGCTATCGCCAAAACACTTATGATTCTCTTTCAGTCCTGCCAATAAGTCTGAAATGGCTTCATGCGTTATATTATGCTTCAAACTCCAACTTCGAAGAAATTTCAGAATTTTTGATTTACCGATAAACGAATCATTGCTAGATGGAGAATTTGATCTACTTGAAGAATTGTGTGGTTGGTTCGGAAGCTCATTAGAATCGGCAGTTTCAGATAAAACATCATAATCTTCATAATAATTACTATCGCAATTATGAGATCGGATCGCTCAGAAAATACAGAATTATACGAAATTTCGGAATGATGATCGGAAAGTTCAGTATGAACTGAAAGTTCCGAATGATGAGAGTTTTTGGAATAATCCAAAAGTTTTGATTTGTTTTGCTGAGAAAATGAGTTTGATAAAGAAGCTAAGTATGATTGCTTAATATGAGGTGTTTCCAGCTCCATAGAGGAATTTGTTGAATTGAGTTCCTCAATATCTTCTGCGTTGAGTCTCCTTTTTTTGGCTTTTTTGCACAGCGTGTAAAAAGGTACATCTTTCGGCATATTTTTCTACGATGAATTATAACTGAAATAAAACATAATATTACCTGAAAACATATTATTACCTGAAATCAGAAATTTAACAGTATATGTCACTAAAGCTAGCAGTCAATGGGAGTTCTCAGCTATAAATAAAACTTTTATTTTTACACATTTTTATTTTATGCAACTTTTTTTAACTGTAGTATAATATAATAAATGGAAGGTTATTATTTATTGTAAATTATAAAATGTAAATAATATAAAACACAAATAATATAAAAAAGGTAAAATTATTAGTAATAATATAAAATATAGTATTAAAATTATAAATATAAAAAAAATAATATAATTTTAATAATATAAAAAACTATATATATATAATACACTTTTTAATTATGCCACAGACAAGAATAAATTTATATAAATAATCTTAAAAACTATAATGAAATTGAAATTAATGTAGGATACCAAATAGTTTAGTATTTTAAATATAAATTAGTAAAATACTTAAATTAATTGTGATTACGTTCAAATCACGATATTAACAACGATATGTACTTGTTAGATTATGTCGCGAAAATCTCACAAATAAAACGTTTTCTTAGAACACTCCAGAGGTAGAAGAAATCGTTTTGCCGTAACATTGGGTGCTTTCCAACTACATACACAGGCGACACTGTGTAACATTGTGTCCATTAGTGTGAGAAAGAGCATATCAGTGTGTCTCACTCACACTAATGGACACTGTGTTACACAGTGTCGCCTGTGTACGTAGTTGGAAAGCACCCATTATCTTTCTTATTCAATAAAATGTTACCGGATAAACAACGTATCAATTAAGATTGGGCAGGACTTTATAGTATTCGTCTTTTCTAAAATGATTCTACTCTCTACAAAATATTCTCTCGCTTTTGTAAAATTTTAAAAAAGACGAGTTTAGAAAGTAGATGTTCGAGTTTACTTACCAAGCAGAGATTCAATGTAGAGAAGATTCAACGATTGAATTGAAACGACGTTACTGAGAAAGTCGACACGTTTTTATCGGATCCTCAGGCCCTCGATCGGGATCAAAATCTTCGTCAAAAACACACACACCACTTGTTGGCGCACACTATGCGCTATGCTGTGCTATTATGGCGCAAAAGCCTCTTTGCAAGAAGAGCGTATGCCAGTCTAAGACTTAATGGTAGATCGATAAGTCCGGAAAGGTTCCTCTATCCGTCGTGAAATTGTTCAAAAATCTTTACGTTGGTACGTACCTCCGACCGGCGGCTCAACAAAGACTTAACTGGGAAACATCAAAACACTCAACTCTCCGCAAAGCTAAGGCCTGTTCTACAATACAGTCGTAAGCTGTAAGTCGTAAGAAATTGACCAATCACAATCAATTATTCTTCTGTGATTTGTCTGTAATTGGTCGATTTCTTACGACTTACAGCTTACGACTGTATTGTAGAACAGGCCTAATATCCCACGACCACACGTGTCTATCGACCGTAGAGTCGACAACAAAAGAACGATAGGACAATCACTAACAATGGCTCATGGCTGCGTGCTGCGTTGAACGCGGCCATGCAGANTTGTTTCACACGTGCATGCGCGGAGTTCACAAAGGTTACGTTATTAAAGCGCATTTGCATGCGCTTGATAAATGGAAAAAAATCAGATCGCAATAAAATATCTATAAGTAAAAATTGAAATTTCAATTTAAAAACCTCACGTAAAAAATTTACACGTGAACACACACACACACA